AGGTACGCCGAATTTTGGGAAACCCTAAACCCCAAATAGTAGTTTCCATTTTCTTTTCCAGTATCCCTATATTATCCCAATATGCACCCGTAGTAGTCCCTATATAACCCATTATAGGACTTTCCAGCCACAGGAGCTCTTATTAAGGCAGCCCGGAGAGTGCAGAGTGCAGCATTCAGAAATACGGGGACGCAAAATACTGACTCGCCAATCCACATCATTGTGACTGCACCCTAAACCCGGAACCATTTTTTGGAAACCTCTATGTAGGACATTGGGCTCTACGATCTGAAGAATCATGCCCTATAAAACCCTTATAGAAGGTGAGCAGGCATGCCAGGCGCAAACTATCAAAACCTTGAACTTTCTTGTGGTTCAATGAAAATGGAGGACTGGGATGTTCGGACCTTTGAATTCAAAGGGTTTACAGTTTACGGGAATCCATTTTTCCTCGCGTTCCCAACCAAACTTTGGATCCTTAACCCTAAGGAAAACTTTGTTGTGCCCTTTTTCTTTTCTACGCCTCAACCAGCACCTAAACTCTGAGACCTAAATGGCATCCAGTGGTTCCCATGTTCTTTTCCGTGCCCCCCTTCCCTAAACACAGAAACCTAAACCCCTATCGCTAAGCCACGAAGTAGAGGAGTGCGCCGGCTACAAGGGCGCCGAGATGACTGCACCCTCCATGGAGGACATGAACAAGGAGCGATTTTAGGGGCTTGAGTTCAGGGTTTAGGGTTTAGGGCAGGGGAGCTTACTAGCAGCGAAAAAGACATTGTCTCATACAGTTGCTCTCGAGTGTCTAGGAGGGCATTCAGGGGTCTACGATTGCACGGCGATGTGTAGGCTTTGTGCATGGGTGACGCAGGGTCTTCTCCGCAGGTCATGGCGAACGGCCGCGAGGCTCATGGGGACTTAAGAAGCCTGACATTCTGGAGAATCAAAACAGACGTGACATGGGTTTTTAAATCCAAGTCACTGTGCCCTCGATTTGGTTGTCCCAAGATGTGATCTCAAGCGGCTGCCAAACTCATCCCAAAATTAAGCCTAGTTCCTCAGATACTGTACTGTACTTGCTGGATATTTCTTCCAAACATGGTAGCCCTACGTCCCACCTACTTAATCCTACTCTGACAAACGCAATCCCTAACACCCCCCCCCCCGTTCACCACCATATACAGCTCTCCTTCACTTTGCATATGAGTTAGAGTTAGAGTCTAAACTCCTAGTATCCCCCTGAATACAGTCCCCTATATAACCTCCATCTAAGGAGTTTAGATTATGACGCATATGAGCTATAGTCTAAACTCCTTAAAGGGGGTTATATAGGGGATTATATAGCAGACTACTATAGGGGATATTAAGGGGGATACTAGGAGTTCAGATTATCACCCGTATAATCCCCTATATAATCCCAGTTTCCATTTGACTGTCCATGTTCATTTCCACTTGATTCTCCTCTATTAAGGGGGATACTATGAGTTATACTGGGTTTAACAACTAAAAAAACACTGCTCATATGAGGAGATTGAGGAGAAGGTGATCAAGCGCACGCTGCAGTCTATCAAGCACCTGGGATTTTGTAAGCTGATTAGGTTCGGGCGGATTTTTTTGGCCCGGGGTTGAAAATCCCTAGGACATACCCTAAACCCTAAGTTAGAAACCCCGAGGACGTACAGACGTGGTGAGAGGATTATAGGCGTCACCAGTTGAGATTGTCAGGCCCTAAGTCTGAAGCCCCAAAGGGTTTAGGGTTTGGGGGTTTTAGGGTTTAGGGTTTTAGGGGTTTAGGGTTTAGGGTTTTAGGGTTTTAGGGTTTAAACCCCCCAAACCTCGAAGTTCCCTGAATATCATTTTCTCATTTATCTATAATCCTAAAACCTTAATTGACATTATGATTTCTATACCAGGGGTCTAGAGAACTTAGATTTATTTATCTAGAATTGTAAGAATCTTGACTGAAAGTATGATTTCTACCAGGGCTCCAGAGAAATTAGAGAATCCCAAAAACCCCTTTAAACCCTATTTAATCCCTATAATCCCTATAGTTTCCATTTTCTTTTCCATTATATCCCCCTGTATAGCAACCTCTTGAGCCTTAGGCTGAAGAACGGCCAGCCCGCCATCAGCCTGTATGGCAGCCACACGCACCTTCACATCAACCCTTCCGGTGCCCTGGCCTTACAATGCTTTGGGATTTGGGGTTTGGGGTGTATAGCTTTTCAGGGATTAGGGTTTAGGGTATAAGGGCTTAGGGTTAAGGTACCCTGATCTGGCAGTGCTTTTGGGTTTGGCGTTGAGAGTTTTGGGTTTAGGGGTCTAGAATGGATTTAGAGTTCAAGTCTCAGGGTTTAGGGTTTGGGGGTGCAGGATGTTCGGGTTCAGCATTAATGGTTTAGGGTTGAGGGGTCTGTGGATCGGGGATTTGGAGTTTGATGTTGAGGGTTTACCTATGGAGGTTTAGGGATTTGGTGCCCGGGGTTTTAGGAAGTAGGGTTCATCGTTTAGAGTTAAGAGGTCCAGGGTGTGGAGTTGGGGTTGTAGAATTAGGGCTTGAAACTACGTACAAGGCGTTAGCAAGGAACGACAGAATGGACGCTAGGAAAACTCATGAGGGATCATTGATAGGGACTGTTATAGGGGATTGTTGATTGGGACTGCTCTAGGGATCCATTCCTCCCTCCATTTCCTGCTAGCCACCGGGATTTGAGGGACCTTTGGGCCTAGTCCCACATTCCTTAACCTCAAAATGATATTAGGTAAGTATTTAAGCTCCCTAAGCCCTAAACCCTAAAGCGTTCTGTACTGCTGGTCAGTGGAGAAAAGGTCCGGTAAAAACAAACCTAAACCAAAGGCACCGGGTCTCAGGGTTTGTTCTTGGGCAATCCATGTCCATCACGTATATGGGAAGTACTGATTGTAGCTCATCATATGGACTTCCATATTATTTCTTCCTTCTTGCTAAGCGCTGGCCGAGTTTGACTTTTTATCTGGACGAATCATAGCACGCCTCAAGTGGTGGTTAATGAAAAAAAGAGTCCCAAACAGGTTTTCATTGCACCGTCTGATGCATTCCTAACACAACGGTGAATTTTATGTGGGCTTGTGAAACAACAAGTCAAAAGGCAATGCCAGGGTTTGCTTGGCTTGACATTTCATTCCACACTTCACTCTCCAGTTGCAATGACATTTTTCCGACGTGCTCCCTACACACCTGCTTTTGACAGAGCCCAGTCGCTTCTCAATCTTGCCTTGGGTGGAATAAGACTGAAACTGGCTGAGTTTCTCCATCTTGGAGAGATGTAAAATACCCAGACATGGAACGTGGTGTGACTTCTACTGTCAAGCCAGTCTATTTGGATTAGTTTATAGTCCCCCTTAGGTAGATAGAATATGGGGTATATGGGGATCTTACATACCCAAAGCCATATTCTATCTACTTAAGGGGGACTATAAGCCCAACTTAGAAATTAGCAGCTCCTAGAACAGACCCTCGAACCTTGATCCCTAAAATCCTCAACCCTCCCTAAAGCCTAAACCCTCAACCCTGCACACCATAACCAGAACCATCAACCCTGAACCCTGAAACCTACACCCTGAACATTAAACCCAAAACCCTGTACCCTAAATCTACCCAGGCAAGTTCATCATTGGCGGACCTCAGGGCGATGCCGGACTCACCGGCCGAAAGACGCCTGGACGAGGGTTTAGACGTTTTGGATTTAGGGCTTTTGGGGTTGGGAGTTAGGGTTAGTTTAGGGATTAGGGTCTAGGGATTGGGTGCAGGGTTTATGGATTTAGGTTTCGGGTTTAGGGAGTTGTCCCCCAATTTTTTTTAGCATTGGAAAGAGGAAATTCAGATGGAAGTTATGCGTATGTAGGAACCTTGAAGATTTACAGAATTAATTGCAAGTTCAACGGGACTTAGTAAGTGGGTCGATAATGGAAAAGAAGATGGAAACTACTGTGACATGCAGGGTTAAGGGTCATTAGGACCTAGCGGGTTAATGATGGATAAGGAAGCCAAATGGTTTATATGGGGAATAGTCCACAATTGCACGGCTTTCTATATTGAAAGTATAAGAAGAATCAAAATAAAGGCCGCTGTTAAGGGCGTCTATACTATGCTAGCTCGCCCATTTTGGTGTTAACTACTCTACTCAAGCTCCCATGACGACCTCACGAACCCACAGGTTTGATTGTTGAGTTGGGCTAGGCTGGCGAAGCAAGAGGAATACTTATCCACATGTGCCTAGACTCAGAACCCTAAACCCAAAACCCTGATAAACCGTTTATAGAAAGTACTAAGAGCTGTAACGATTCTATAGCCCTTAGAAGAGTAGGGGGCGCCCTACCTCAACTGCTCAGCATGCCCGTCTCTACTTGTGATGCAAGTACACTACGCCCTGTCACTTGGGAGTTTCCCAAAGTTAGGGGTACCTTTACGAGGAAGTACAGGGGGCTTATATATATATACACGTGTATATGTATTGTTTAGGGTTTAGGGTTTCCCAAAATTGGGGGTACCTTTTGGGGGCCTCCATAATGAGGGTTATCCTATTTGGGTGTCTATATTGGGGTCCCCCCCATTTATGGAAGCTACCACGCTACGCCTTGTCACATGCTTGAGCTTAGGATCATTATCGACACCTATGGAGGTGCGCATGCCGCGTTGATTCTTCCTTATTTGAGCTACAGTCTAAACTCCTGGTATCCCCCTTAATAACCCCTATAGTAGTCCCTATATATTACCCTATATAACCCCCTGTAAAGACGTTAGACCATAGCTCATTTGATTTCCTTTGGGCCGGTCAAGAGCTTTGCGGCTATACTTGGGCGTGTTGAGCTGCTGCTGATCATTCAGAGCCTGAAAATGTGGAAGAATGCAGAACCAAATGACATTTGGGAGTGTAAAGGGGCTGGGACTGTAAGTCAGGGTCCATTTGATCGATTGGAGTTTGGTGTGCATTCTGCTATAGCTAGATATGGTAATTGTCCGAAATAGAAGGACACCATATAGACCACAAAATGCTGTAAGCCTTCTTGTGGGAAGCCCCAAGAAGGTATCGCTAATTTTGGTAAACCGCAATATATCAGCGGAGAGTAGTTATCAAGGCGTCTATATTCCTTTAAGCAACCCCTGTAGAATCCCTGTTCAAGTTGCCTTTTCCATTTGAGCTATTATCCTACCTCGCCATAGAGGGTTACATGGAGGATTGTATAGGGGTTATCAAGCGGAATACTAGGAGTTAAGATTATAGCTCATTTGAATCTTCGTTTTTGGGGGTGTGGGGGGCAAGTTTTTCAGGCTTCTACATTAATTACCCTAAATCCTACACCCTAACCCCCAAACCCAAAGCCACTTTCTATTTACTTAAGGGGGGCTTGGGGTTTAGTTTAGGGTTTGGGGTTTGTCGCTTAGGGTTTGGGCTGTGGGAAGTTTCCAAAAAGAGGACCCGCAGGGATAGATAGGGGAATACAAGGGTGATGCTCAGGGATATATAGGGCAATAGAGGGACTATGTGCGTCCTCATTAAGGTGTATGCAATGTTATCTTCAGAGCAGATGAAACTTTCCCAGAATAGGGACCCCAGGAATGGAGAAGGAAGGGCGGAAGGGGGTGGGGTGGACCCCCCTAGGAACCCCATGGTAAGCCTGATAGTGACACTTGCATTCCCTTCCCTGCTTCCCTTAAGCAACGCAAAGTGCAAGGTTGGGGAATTTAGGTCTACTGCTTGAAGTGATGACGGGCTGCAAGGTTGGGGATTTTGGGTCTTCTGCTTGAAGGGATGACGGGCTGGCAGTTGGCAATTTGGCCGGTTTCAGGTCTCATTTTGGAGGGTGGGGATCCAGGAGTAGGGTTGAAGAATCTACGTGGGACTTAGGACCCCTACTAAGGGTTAACCCTTAGGTACCTATAATGGGAATACAAGGGAATCCCGAAGGGTTAAGGGTCTAAGGTCCAAGCCAAGTCCCAAGGAGGAATCTGGTGGTCAAATATTCAGGCAAAATCAAACCTTGCGATTCACGCAGCGTAACCCTAAACCCTAACCCCTGAAAGGGCCTCCATAGCTTTGATATTGGGATGGCACGCAGGAATTTTGGAGTTCTTGACCAACCAGGTATAGTGCGAAACATTCGCGCTATCTAGAATCGTAGTTGAAAAGACAAGTACAGGTTTGGCATTTAGGGCATGATATTGCCTGGTTATATTAAAGCTGGGATGTTCCTCACCTAGGTTCTTGACAACCTGCAGTTTGCAGAACTTATTCGGAACCAGCCTCTATTATTGGATCGAATAGGAAGACTTTGGGTCAAAGCTGATGGCTGTAAGCGAGGAGTTTAGGGTCGTACTATCCCCATATACCCTATCTTCTATCTACTTAAGGGGGACTATATACCCCAAACCCCAAACCCCAAACCCTAAATCCTAGTTTCAATTTTCTTTTCAATTATCCCAATATAACCCCAATATAACTCTAATACAACCCTAATATAACCCTAATACAACCCTAATACAACCCTAATATAACCCTAATATAACCCCAATATTCTATCTACTTAAGTGGGACTATAAACCCGGTTTCATGCCGGAGGCTGGGGCGCCCATGGAGGCGGTGCCTTCTCCGGCAAGGACCCAACCAAGGTCGAGCTTGGTAAGTTTAGGGTTTGGGGTTTGGGGTTTGAGGTTGGGGGTTTGGGGTTTAGTCTAGGGAGCCTTTTTTGAAGGGTTTAGGGGCTAGGTTAGGTGGACCCCCCAACCTGTAGTAGTGACTATAAGGGATACTCATAATTATATTAAGACCCTATCTTACCACGATTGCGGTGTGGTGGGTCCATGAGGGGTCAACCCAGCAAGCCTGGATGACTCTAGCGTCGCAATGTTCAAGCTCTTTCGGTAACCCACGCTGGTAGGGTCCTTCTCAAGGGGGTGTGTAGGGGTTACATATGGATATATGTGGATACATGGGGTTTAGGGTTGAGGGATTGTGGTGTTTGGGAATAGTCTGCTTTTGCTTGCTTGCTTACGTGGTCCTAGGTGAGAGGATCATATCAGGTTTGACTCGTATTCTGGTACTGGTGAGTATATACTGAAGGTTCTCCGGCAAGTTTGCTGAATATGTCTGGGGTGCCGTTACTGTACATGCTGTCCGGGGACCTTGATCTCTAGAAACATGCATACAAGATTGATATTTTCGTTGAGTAAGCCCTAGACGCACATCCTCCGGACCCCTCAACCCATAAATCTACGATCCTAAACTCTTTTGCAATGAGGGTTAAGGGATTAGGGTTTGGAGGGATTAGGGCTTGAGGTGTAGGGTTTCTAAGCTGCGATTCTGATTCTAGATGCTAGGCTTCTTAATACAGCGATAATAACCCGAAAATCCCAAACAGGTATAAACAGCACTGGTTTGCATTAAGTCGAAACTTGCGAGCCCAACAACTCACAAGATGTGACTCTGAACAGGTGGATCGCTCCGCCGCCTACATCTGCCGACAGATGGCCACTTTGCGGTAAAGACGTCTGGGTGCTGATTTCAGGGCTTTTTGATGCTAGAGGTTTACGATTTAGAGTTGGGAGCTTTGCGGTCTTGGAGTTACGGGATTCGGATTCGGAGTCTAGGGTTAATGTATCCTAAAACCGAAGCCCGAATATATCCTAAGCCCTAAACCCTAATGTATCCTAAACCCTAAGCCCGTTGGGGTTGAGGGATTGGCTTTGCCAGTCGAGGCTCAGGGCTTTGCCACTCAGACTTATTCGCGGGCAACCTTGACGCAGGTGGTTCAAGGGGTTTAGGGTTTAGGGTTTAGGGTCAGGGAACCTTGGCCTGGGCAGTAATTGCGGAGATATTAGGGGTGATTCGAGGGTATGCCTCTTAAGACCCCGCCAAGGAGCTTTGAATAATTGCTAACTCTTGTGCCAGCATCCGTTGAATGTCAAGACCTTAAGCCCCAAAACGGTGAAGCCCCCGCAGCCCTACATCCTAAGTCCTCAAACTCTCCTTTGGTACCCCCTAAAGCCATAAGGCTTCGGGTTTAGGGACCCCCTACAGCCATAACCCCTAAACCCTAAACCCTAAATCCTGAAACCCTTTGGCTACTTCAGGCCAAGTCCGTCGTTTCCAGCGGACTCAGCGCACGCTGCCTGGTGCAGTCGCCCACCTGCAAGCTTACATTTTTTGAGGGTTTGGGGTTTAGGGTTTAGGGTTTAGGGTCTGTAAAGGCCCAAGTCATAGCCAGGTGAACCCATTATTCCCCTATGTGTTATAAGAGAAAACACTAGTGCTTCCCAAACCAAGCTTTTTTCGTACGATTCCTACCTGGGCGAGAAGTCCTCTGCAAACCCTTGCTTGCTTTCAGGCTCGGGGGGTTGCGATTTGGGCTTTGCCAGGCTAACAAGCGGGCACTCATCGCTCCTCTCCTCACCCGAGGGCTCCCAGTTACTTAAATCGGGAATTACTGGGCTATGTAACTATAGGGTATCTAGCACCCAGAACCCATTATTTAGGTAACTGGAGCCCTAGGGTTACGAATAATCCCATCCCCTAATGATGAACTTAGGGGTGGTTTTTTGGTGGAGTTGAAGGGTTTCAGGTTTGTACCCCTTGCGTGGTTTTGCTGGGTTGTGGGATCCTTTCAAGGGACTCAAGGGGACTACATGGGCTTTTATGAGGGCTATATTCGGGCTATATCGGGGAAACCTTTTAGGGGTATGACCTTAGGGGTACAGCCCAGAAACCATTGACGTGCGAGCCAAAACTCCGCTCGCTGTTTCCAACTCCGTTCGTTGTAGAACGACTTCAAGCTCCAATATCCCGTGCCATTTCAACGTCCCAAAAGCCATGAGGATAAGGTTCATGAGAACATACCCTAATTACACCTGACACGCTATGGTACTGAAGCCGAGATCCAAACCCGAAATCCGTCCTAGACAGTCCACCCGAGTACCACCCCTGCCCCCCAGCATTGAAAAGAAAGATGTCCGACCACCTTCTTTTGCTTCTATGGGCTGGGAAGAACCCACAACACCCAAAACCATGCATCCGTGACGCTGAAACTCAAATCCAGAGCCACATACCCCAAAGAGCGAGCACGCCTAAACCCTAAGCCCTAAGCCCCCCAACCAGCAACCCAACTCCCAAAGCATAAGCCAAAGAACCAACCAAGAAAAAGCCCTGCTAAACCCAACAGGTAAAGATTAGACCCAGAGACCGAACTCCCGAAAAGTATACCCTGAACCGACTTTCTGAAACATCCGCCAGACCCTACCTGTGACTCCATTTTTACTAGTAAGAAGTAGAACCCAAAAAATGTAGGTAATTGGGGTTGTAGGTAAACCCTAAAACCCTCACCAACTGAAGGCTGTCCTATGCCATCGGTGTGGCCAAGCCGCTGTCCCTCTTTGTGGAGACCTATGGAAGCGAACCGCACCGGCAATGTTTTCTGGGTGTTTAAGGGGGAGTTAGGAATGAATATAGGGACCTTCATCGGGGAATTTAGGTTTCGGGGCTGGGGGATTCCCAAAACCCTGAAACCGTAAATCCTAAACCCTAAATACTCAAGCTTGACAAACAAGCCACTGGTCATGTAGCAAAATTAAAGCCGTGGCAATCTTGGCAGTTGATTCTTGGTCCGATCTTTCAACAGTGGAGATGCAAAGCCTTACAAAGATAAGCAAAATACATTATAGCATACTAGAATATAACATAGTATGGCATAGTACACAATAGTATACTGTAGTATATCATACTATATTATAGTACATTGTAGAATATTCTTTTATATTCCAGAAGTTTCAGAAAGTGTGCGACTGCTGGAAGCCATGGCCTAGTCCAGCTCCAGCGACGAAAGCCCGCCAGCACGTCACCTAGGGTTTATAGGGTTTTAAAGGTTCTATAGGGTTTATAAGGTTTTTATGGTTTATGGGGTTCATATGAGCGGAGATCAAAACCCTTCTTATTCAAAAAAGAAAGGGGCTTCCAGAAACAAGGTTTGGCGTAAACAAAGTGCTGTGTTTCGTAAGGGGTCGTAAGCAATTCTTGGGAAACGTTGTTGCCGTAAGCGTCGTAAGCTGTTGTTGTTGCTGCTGTTGCACTGCAGTTTTGTTACTTCACCCCGGCCCCGTTTTGGTCTTTCGATACAAGAGTACTAAAGTCACTACTGCTAGCATTCGTGTTACCGCCACTTGGCGTTGGTGCGGCTGTCGCCTCTCTAGAATGCTTCATCTACGATTGCTTTTCCTCTTTCTCCTGCTGCTATATTACGTGAGTACTACTGGTATTTCTAAACCTGCTAGTTCTATTACTGGTACTACTACCTCTACCAGAACGGTTGCTCTACTTCGGCCGCTACTACTGCGGGTACTATAATAGGTAGGCCCTCCCCCCACATTGTCTTGGGCCCTGCAACGTAGGCCGGGATTTTGGATTTAAGGCACCCTGAACCCCAAACCATCCGAGCGGTTTTCTTCATGGTTTCCTGCCAGTGCATCCACAAGCACCACGAGTGCTATAGTCCAAACTCCTTAACGGGGGTTATGTAGGTGACTCAGGGTTAAGCGGATTAGGGTTTAGGGCCTCAGAATCAGGGTCTGCACTCCTTGAAGTGCGTTATACAGAGGATTCTCCAGGGGACTACTAGGGGTTACAAAGGGGGACATTACGAGTTCATAAAGAATGGGTTGCATCTTAGAGCCGGTTGAATACTTACCTTGTCAAGCGCCTTGATTGCAGACCAAAACCGTCCAACTTCAAAGCATTAACCCCAAATCTTAAACCATTAACTGGGTGACTCTTTGGGGTTCAAGGTTTAGGGTTTAGGTAGATAATTTCCTGTACTGTTTTTTTTTTACATCGACCAACTCATCAACAATCTTTGGCGGCCTTTAACCACCTAGTTAACCTAGGAGAAGGGCGCTTTGACCGTGGATGACATCACCAACCTGCTCAAGGCCAAAGGGATGGCAATGTCCAGGTCATACTATAAGGGCCTAAATGATTACCAATATTATGGTTCCATTTCCTTGTACAATAATAGTATATGGTACCTCAAATGGACCTCAAAACCCTAAACCCTAAATAGTAGTTTCCATTTTCTTTTCCGTTATCCCAATATGGTACCTCAAATGGACCTCAAAACCACATTGGTAATTATTTGGGCCCTTGTAGTAGCGCCGAGGCGTTCACTCACGGGAAGGTCCGGGGTTTTGGGTTTTTGGGTTTTAGGTTTTAGGTTTAGGGTTTAGGGTTTTTGGGTTTAGGGTTTAGGGCTGCAGGTTTAGAGCTTAAGGTTTGCGAGCTTGGGGTGTAAGATGTAGGGTTACTATTTTGAGGGTCTATGAGCTATAGTCTTCACTCCTCAAACGGGTCATACATGGTTCTTAAAAGGGATACTAGGTGTTTGAAACACAGCTTATAAGGTCTAGGGTTTACGGCAGAGTCTTTAGGACAGTCTTGGCTGTTATAACTTTATATTTTCTTATAACCCACAGGAGGACTTGCAGGTTCAGGTTTTAGGGTTTAGGGCAGAGTTTAGGAGAATGGGCCTTCAGCGTTTCTGCGCGTTGGGTTGTGGGCTTCGGTGGCTGTAGGGTCCAAGATTTAGGGCCTAAGGTCTGACGAGCTTAGGATTTTAGAGTTATCCAGTTTAGGACTTAGGTTTCCGGATTTGATGCCTGCACTCTCCAAAACTAACATGAACCCGATTGGCCCCCGTAAGCAGGCATGGTCTTTGTAGGTGCTTTCATTAAGTTTGGGCGAGGGGTATTCAGTAAACTCTAGATACATTGAAGATTTACAGAACGCTGCCCCATGTGGTCAAATTTCAAGTCCAGTTCAATTTTTATGAACCTCAATCGGACAGCGAAGCGCAAGTCGATCTACTACTCAGCAGTTTGCCCATGGCTTGAGAAAAGTTGGACCCCCTAGACCTTCGCCCATCAGCACCAAACCCTACAGCTACAAGGCTCAAACTCGGCATTCAGATTGATCTTTGTGTCACAGGCCAGCCCTAATCCATGAACCTTAAACGCCTGCTTCCTGAATCCCTTAAACCACTTAAACCCTCAATCCGAAACACCATGGGCAGATCGAGTTCGACTGCCGCCCTGGCGCCATCGCCCAGACCCTGGCCCTTCGCGAGCCCAAGTACCAGGACTTCTGATGCTGCTTGAAAAGCCAAGCCCTCAACCTTGAGGCAAAGATTTGGGGTTTAGGGTTTAGGGATTAGGGTTGAGGGATCAGGGTTCAGGGATTCGGGTTTAGGGTTTAGGGATTAGGGTTAAGGGATTAGGGTTCAGGGATTCGGGTTTAGGGTTTAGGGAATAGGGTTAAGGGATTAGGGTTTAGAGATTCGGGTTTAGGGATTAGAGTTTAGGGATTAGGGTTTAGGGTTTAGGGATTCGGGTTCAGGTATTAGGGTTGAGGGTCTAGGGTCTAGGGATTAAGGTTTAGGGACGAAGGTTTAGGGTTAAGGGGGGATGTAAAAGGGTGTTTAGGGTTCAGGGCTTGGGATCTATGACCATTTTAGGGAGACGGTTCGAATTTAGGGTTCATCTTTCATGTTGCTTTGCGTTTCAAGCGCAGACTAGCAAACCAGAGGACTAGCATCATGTAAATTAGATTCGACCTCATGAACTCATACAACCCCCCCTTGCAACGATAGTAGTCTTTACAGGACCCCTCTTCAGGTCCCAACCTAAACTCTAAACCCTAAGCGTTGGAGGACACGGCAGCTTACTGCCACTTTGGGCGTGAGCCAGTGACCAAGAACGGTATCAAATTCTTCGAGTGGGAGAACGCCAAGGACCCGTTTTTGCTTGAGATGTTCACTTTGAGGTTCATGGTAGGTATGGGTCTAAGGGCTTTTGTCTCACGTCTATAGTTAGCTTTCTCCTACCCAAACTCAGAATCAGTTTAAACCCTAAACCCTACTACAATCGAACACTGCTTACTCCTCGCATATTTGGCTATTTCCCAAAGTTAGGGTCCCATTCTGGTACCCGTAAATATTCGGTGCTAATATACAACCGAAAGAGGTCCCTAGACCCTGGACCCTAAAACCCTTAACTCAAAACCTTACTAGTTCCGAACACTGCTGGCTCCACGTATTAAGTGACCAACTCGGCATGGTTCCTTCATCAAACCCTAAACCCAGAGAGACCAATACCCCTTGATTGAGGAATATTTTAAGGATTAGGAGTTGGGGTTTAGGTTTAAGGGTTCAGGGTTTAGGGTCCCGGAGAGCCCAATACCCCTTAATTCAGGAATATGTCAGGATTCCGTAGGGATTATATTGGGATTATATGGGGTGATGTATAATCCTAGGTTATATATGGTTTATATGAGGCATGTATTCTAAAAGGTAATAAGGGCCTTGTAATAGGCTATATTCTTTAATCAAAGGGTATTCAGCTGCCTGGGAACCCTACGTATAAATTGTGGCTGTGCAGGCTGCATGCCGAGGTTTTCAACACTTGGGGTGTCCCCTCGAGGAGGCTCAGAAGTTATTTAGGGCTGCGTGAGCCCCCCAAACATGCTTGCAGGCGGAGGAATGTTTAGAACCTCGTGGTTGAAGTGCTCCTCCAGAGTTAATCAACCAATCTTGGGAGGGACATAATAAAACATGCTCTTCCCATATTTCGTTGGGATGACATAATCAAAAGCTTCTCAAACTTTTTGGCTTTGTAGGGGCTGCAGAAGGAGTTCTAATCCGATTCCGTGTGCTTCATAAGCCCTAAGACTTTTACACTAGCCGCACTAGCCTCGCAAATGCTAGTTGTCAGCGGGAAAGAAGGAATGGCAAAGGACATGGAAACTGCATTACCTCTACCATGAGGATCCATTCCCCACTAACAACCAGTACTTGGAGGGTCATGGAGACTTAGTAAGTGGGTGTCTTATAGGGCCATAGGTGTACTGACTAAGTCGCCCTTCCCGTCCAAGTAAGCAATGGCAGGACCTGAAGAAGTATGCCGGCATGAACTCCGACCAAGTCACTGCCGCGCTGAAGAGCAGCAACTACCTCACCAAGTGGGTGGACTAAGCGGGTTCCACCGTCGCGAGCACGAAGACAAGCCTGGGTAATTAACATGAAGACCAAGTCATCTGAGCAGAAACCCATTGGATTCGGGTTTAGGGTTCAGGGTACCTAAACCCGAAAAGTATGTAAAATAATGACCTTCATGGCTATTATTATGGGTTTCGGGCTATTATTTTACATACTTTTGGGGTCCAGGTAGTCATACCCAGCCAGTGCTTTGAATCATCAGATTCTTGCCTGCAGGCTTATTCTACCCTCCCCAAATCAAAGCAAACATCAATCCCTTTTGGGGGGTATTCTTGTTGAGACTTGGTGGTGCCCCGTATCGCATGTTACAGTGTTTGAAGCTGTTTTGCTGGATTCGGGCTAACGGCTTGTCAGGTGTCTGGTGTTAGGCCTACATGCTCCTGTATGTTCCCATGGCACCCTTTTATTAGATTTAGGTTTTCAAAGTGGACTGTCTTGATCTGAAAGCAAACGCTAAGAATAACAACTTCAAGGTTCAAGGTTAAGACTTCTATGTAGTCTTTCCCGGGTTGTTACAACCTGGTGCTAAGACGTTATATGACGTTATAGTATACGACGTAAAAGTAACTACATGTGAGCCTTTGAGTAGGTTTTGGACTGTACTAGGCAAGCCTTTGGATGCCTCCCCAACCCTACGCACCTGTACCAGGTGCTTAAGAATATCCAAGTAGCGTTGAGGGTTTAAGGGGCATGCCGTCGATGTAGATGTCCAGGTACACCGCACTAAATTCACAAAACAGCAACTAGTCTGAGATTGAAAATGCTTTGAGACCCTGGAACCCGTGGATGGTTTTGGAGGCAGCACGCATTAGGCCGGTCTCCACGGATGCCCCAGATCCGCTGATGTTTCACCTACTCGGCGCGGTGGGCATACCGTGCGATGCGGCATTTTTCTCTCGCACAAGATTAAAAAGGGGCCTGGCCAGATCTTTCTTGTCTTCAGAAATCCTCAGAACAGCTTGAATACACACTTTACTGGGTTCAAGCTTTAGCACGAATCAAGTGCGCGTGATTCGTGTGTACTTGGGGAGGGTGGTGTGCGGTAAAGGTGTGCAGGATGGAAGAAATCTCGTAGTGGGAATCCCTAGGGAGGATCCCCGGACGCACGTTAGCCGTTCAGCCCTGGACCCATGCAACCACGAAACCAGAGTCCACCAACTGATTGCTTCCTAAGCCCCTTGAAGATTCTATATCCTAAGCCCTAAATAGTAGTTTCCATGTTCTTTTCCATTATCCACATATATTCCCCCTATATCCGCCTATCCTAAAACAAAATGCCACACTTCACACCCTGAATTTCTCCGCTTGAAAGCTCCAGGTGCCACGACCTGAAGCCAAAGCCCAAAGACAAAAATTTTAGGATCAGGTATATATAGGGTGTTATATTGGTATAATGGAAAATGAAGTGGAGAGTATTATTTAGGGTTTAGGGTGTATTCCGCCTAAGCAAGGAAGGGATTATGTAGACCCATGATTAATAATCCCGCTCCGCTTAAGATCCTTAATATTAGGATCCCTAGTATAATCCCTACCACGGGCAGTGGGTTTATTAATCAGGGGTCTGCATTAGTTGAATAGCATTTTACAGATTTTCGTGGCTACTTCAACCCAGTAAGGAGTAAACTGAGTTTTTGTTGAACAACATTTTGCATCACTTCAACAAGAACCCAGTAAGCATGCCAATTTTCAATACTATCCCAGCCGTGAACTAGCCAAAGCCCACAGCTGGTTTCAAAGGGCTCAAAAGGTGGGATGAAGGGAGGTGGGGTATAGGAGATAAGCCTCAATATATTAGAGTATATACTAGAGCCTAAACCCTAAATCCTAACCCTAA